GGCACCCTTTTCGAGCCGAGCGCTACCCGTGGAGTAAGTGTTCAACAGCAAACAGTAGCATCTTAACATTTAAAAATATGAACACCCCGCCTCAACGATGAAGCGAACAGCACTGAATTTTGATTTCCTATGAATCGGGTATGTGGCACCACTGTGGCACTGAAGAGGTCTCTCACTCAAACGTTCACAAAACTGTCTTTATGGCTCCGGTTCCGGCTTTCTAGTGACCACTTGTTCACAAGAGTATCTCGTTTTGTCACTTCCTTTGTGCTGACTTGCAATTGAAATTGTTTTTTATGTAGCCTCAAACTTGAAATTGATTTTTTGTAGTCTCAAAACGCATATACACTCTGTGGTTCAGCTGGCGCACGGACGTATTCGTTGCGCAAAGGGTTAACCCTATGGCGTCCTGGGCTCAGCTGTCCACAAGGGACCCGTTGCACCAAAAAATGCCACGTAAACTGAGTTTCCCCACACCGTTTACTGTTGGGGTTCTCTCTTGGGAAGAAGAGCTGGCCACACTGGCTGGCCTGCGTCCGGGCTTTGTGTCCGGGTATTGTCCTCCTCTTGTCTTGCTGTTGTCCTCTGACCGCACTGGTCCTCCCCTTGTCCTTGTCCTTCCCTTGCCCTCCTCTTGTCCTCTTGTCCTGCCGTTGTCCTCTTGCCGCCCTGGCCTACCCTGTGTCCTCCTTTTGTCCTCCAAGCCTCAATGCTCAAGGTGGCCAGAAATGCCAGCCCCCCAGTAGCGGGGTCCGACCCGCCGCTCGCACTCGCCGACGTTCATGATAGCTGCTGGCTTGATCCTCAAGCTGCTGCTCCTTGCCTGGTCTGGCCTTGAGCATCCCGGTCCCAAGTCCGGGCGTGGATCCTTGCAACTTGGCATGTGTTCGCAAAGTTTTTGGTCCACGAGAGGTGAGGGTTTCCTTCGGTCCACGACGAAGGAAGGAGGAGACCAGGTCGGTCACGTACCCCCAAGCTCCCTCCAAAATAATCGTGGGAAAGGGCACCCAGAAGGCCCCATCGGGGCAAAAGGGCACTGCTCAACCTGGAGCACGAAGAAGAGCTATAAAAGA